TTTTTTTTTAAAAAATAGTGACTTCATATAATTGTCAAGATTAAAAGATTAAATGGAAAATAGAATTTGATGCCAATTAAGGGTTACACGATTGCTGGTTTAATTAATTTGCCATTTAGTTTTCCAGCCTACAGAAAGCCCTTATTAGCTAAGTAAATGTTCGGTTTTCCCATCAACAAGAATAGAAATCAGTCGTAAAGTCACCAATGTCCCTTGGATTCCAATCCCTAGTCAACAGTGCCAGATCTACAAAAGGAAAAGCTACATTTTTTCCTTCACAGAGTAGCTTTAAATCTCCAAGTACTTCAATCTTTAAAATGTAATTTAGAGACTTAAAATGAAGAAGTGAGGTCTTGCTCAGAAGAACCTAATTAAAAGAAAAAAAGGAGACAAAATACCTCGGTTTTTTCCTACTTTTATTTACAAAGAACACGACTCCTCCTGACACAAAAACTTGCACATTCCAAGGAGGATCTTATTAAAAATAACAACAAAACTGGACCTTATTAAACACAGTCTGTGTACCCCAGACTCAGGGATCACTGGGAATGTTTTCTCAGACAGGATATCTTACCTCACAGATAGGAAGAGAGACCTCAATGTGGAGAGCCCACCCACCCACCAGGCAGAAAGCTCCACACTCAGTCTTCGGCATCATCAAACTGTCCCGTTTCAAAGACCATCTTGGAATAATAGGGTATCAGTGGAGGTGGGTGGTGCCAGCTGGGGTCATAGATCATGTCTCCTTGTGGGGCGCAGCACACCCAAGGTTTGATCTCTTGAGAAATACTCCCCTGGATGTCATCAGCATCTGCAGGCAGTTTTAAAAGACAGATTCAAGGAGGAAGGAAGGAAAAACAGGTAGCCAAAAAAATATATGTCTAGAGGACAAGACACCTGCACTGATCTTGTTTAAATACACACATGGATGCGTGCACGTGCGTGCATGTGCATAGTTCATTCCTGAAGAATTGCAAATATGTTCATTCTGAACAACCCATAGCTGTGCTTCTCAGACAATGTTCTCAGCAGTGGAGAAGAAGCAACTGCATATCAGAGCACTTCTATCTGCAGCTGCTCCATTCACAGCAAAGATTTTTGGAGAGAGTAATATTGTTTCAATGTTAATACAAAGTGATACATTATGGAGTCAAATAAAATATTTGCATATATATTTCTTTTCAATATGAAAGAGAAGCTGTCACAGAAATTTCAGATCTGTAACAGATATCAGGCTAGGCTCACAGATGTGGACCCCTCTCCCAAACTACCTGCCTTCAGGGGTCTGGTAGGAGGGTCTGAGAAGCCCTAGCTTAGGAACTCACAAACTCCACACCTACCATATGGATTCCCTTGATGTGCTTTCAACTCCAAGTCCCAGTCCTCATTAAATAGGTCACCGGCCTGTTCCTTGGGCAGACAGCGTGTCCCTTCTGACAGCTCCCAGGTGTTGGATTCCCCATCAGAATCCTCATCATCCATAGCAAAGCCTTCCTCTTCAAAATGGGTACCCTCACCATGGGTGGGACTATCATTAGAGATGCTCTGTGTTCCACTGGCTAAGATATTGACAAAAAGAAGGTCTTAAAACAATTGTCAAACCAGAGAAGACCTGCTCATGTGCTTGGAAAATTTTTGGCAGTCTCACTAAGAGGACAGTAAAACAAGTTACAGACTTCTTTAGTCACCTGAGTGCTTTAAGAAAAATATTGTTGTTTATGTTTTTAGAAGTAGGGTTAATGATTTCTTTTCACTAAGATGTTTTGTCTTAAACAAAGCCAGTAATTGCCAGGTCCTGTCACTCACACAGGGAGCCAGGCACAGTTTACATATTCAGGTGGTTTGCATGTCACCAAAGGGCCTCTGGCAAATACAGGCTTTTATTGAATATTTGCTCTTCTTATCCCTCCCTTCAGCCTCAAAGAGCATGTGAACAGGGAGCACAGGGTTGGGGAGAGCGGGGAGCACACAAGCAGAAGAGCAGAACCTGTCTGGTCTCAAGAGGCAGCCACCACGTTCCTCCACCTGACATCAGGGGAGGCTAGAAGGTACATTTTCAAAAGGTCTCATTAGTAATGAAAAGTTTGGGGAAGGACAGTGGACCTCCAAGCATATATTGCTATGGTGATGCCAGGTCAGAGCTGGGAAAGGAATCAGCCTAAAAACAGCCACGTTATTAACACTGTAATAATAGTAACAGCAACTATAAGCAATAAAGTAATAGTTCAGGGGATGGGGTCTGGAGCCAAACTGCCTGGGTTCAAGTCCCAGTTTTGCCAATTACTAAATGTGTAACTGAGCTGAAATTCACTTAACTGGTTTCTCAGTAACTTAAGCATTGAACCGCCTATGACCTAGCAATTCCACTCCTAAATATGTACCCAAATGAACTGAAAACAGGTGTTTAAACAAAACAAGGATGTTCATAGCAACAAAAAGGTAGACTCAACCCAAATATCCATCAACGGATGAACAGACAAACAAAATGTGATAGATTCATATAATGGAATTACTCAGCCATAAAAAGAAATGAAGTACTGAGACATGCTACAACATGGATGAACCTAAAAGAAGGCAGTCACAAAGACCACATAATGTATGAGTCCATTTATAGGCAACTCACATTTGCCTATCCAGAACCNCAGCAACTATAAGCAATAAAGTAATAGTTCAGGGGATGGGGTCTGGAGCCAAACTGCCTGGGTTCAAGTCCCAGTTTTGCCAATTACTAAATGTGTAACTGAGCTGAAATTCACTTAACTGGTTTCTCAGTAACTTAAGCATTGAACCGCCTATGACCTAGCAATTCCACTCCTAAATATGTACCCAAATGAACTGAAAACAGGTGTTTAAACAAAACAAGGATGTTCATAGCAACAAAAAGGTAGACTCAACCCAAATATCCATCAACGGATGAACAGACAAACAAAATGTGATAGATTCATATAATGGAATTACTCAGCCATAAAAAGAAATGAAGTACTGAGACATGCTACAACATGGATGAACCTAAAAGAAGGCAGTCACAAAGACCACATAATGTATGAGTCCATTTATAGGCAACTCACATTTGCCTATCCAGAACCAGTAAATCCATAGAGAGAGAAAGCAGATTAGTGGTTGCCAGGGGCTCGGGGAAGGGGAAACAGAGGGTGACTACTTTCACAAAGACCACATAATGTATGAGTCCATTTATAGGCAACTCACATTTGCCTATCCAGAACCTGTAAATCCATAGAGAGAGAAAGCAGATTAGTGGTTGCCAGGGGCTCGGGGAAGGGGAAACAGAGGGTGACTACTTTAATGGGTACAACTTTTCATTTTAGGGTGATGAAAATGTTGTCACTAGATAGTGGTGCTGGTTGCACAACACTGTCATTGTGCTAAATGCCACTGAATTATATGCATTAAAATGGCTAAGTGGTAAATTTGTTATGTATCTTTTACCACAATTGTTAAAACCTTTTTACTTAACCACTCTGTGCCTCGGTTTCCTCATCTGTAAAATGAAGACAGGATTGTTGTGAGTTTATTAAAAAGAAAAAAGAAAAAGAAACACTTAGAACCATACCTGAAGCTTAGTGAGTCCTCAAGAAGTGTTAGTTGCTGTGACTACACCTACCATGTGCTTGATCTAGACTTGCACTATCCATTAGAACTTTCTGTGATGATGGAAATGTTCTATAATCCATGCAGTCCAACAGGGCAGTGCTAGCCTCATGTGGACACTGCACATGAAATGTGGCTAATGTAACTAAGAAACTGAATTTCTCATTTTATTCAATTATAATTAATTTAAATTTAAATAGCATCGGTGGCTAGCAGCTATTGTATTGGACAATACAGTTCTAGATCCTCTCATCCAATCCTCAAAACAACCTTATGAGGTAAGTACTAATTAGCCCCATTTTAAAGATGAAGAAAGGCTAAGAGACTTATCAAAAGCCACAAAACTCAAGTCCAGGACTCTCTGACCCAGAGCTGAGACTGAAAACCATTTTGCCTGACTCCTAAGCTTGTACTCTTTTCGCTGTTTCTCTCAGTGGAAGGGGTGGTTTGGACATATTGAAAGTCCAGGACTTCCCTTAAAGAAATTCCAATAGGGCTTCCATAGGAGGGCAGTGTTGAAACACTGGGCAGAGATGCTAACTTGGCAACAAAGAGGACTGATTAGAAGAGAAGGTAAACAAGACGTAGGGACATCCCTCTCGTCACTCTTAGCTGGTCCACCCCAATCTCTGCCATCTACTTGCCTAGTCGATCCGCGGCCTTCTCAGACTCTCTCTCCTGACCAGGATGATCAGCTGTGGCAAAGCCAGCCTGTGGGAAGAAGAAACAATCACCAGGGACTTGGGTACCTGGGGTATGCCCACTATATTCAGCTATCACCTCTCAACTCCAACCTACCCTTCCACACTCCCCTTCGTGAGGCAGGGCTGGGATTCTGCAACCCCCACTTCTGCTATGTGCTATTAGTCTTGGCAAGGCTGGAGAGAGACAGGCCTTGCTCCTTCCTATTCTTGTAAGCATCATTCCAGCAACACTTTCTCATCCCCGGCAGCAGAAGTGTGTGATTTCCTATAACAGCCACTGAATCCAGTTTCCAGTTCTGCCAAACCTTGCAGGGCCAGCCTCCCCACTGGGCCCTCTCTTCAAAGGTCTGGGTCCCAGGCCCTCAGGACCTCTCCTCCAAGTGCAAATATCCCAGCACCAGCTGGGGCAGTGCCCCCTCCTGAGGTTGGAATTTCAGCTCTGCAAAAAACCCTCTCCTCTAAGCTTTTCAATTTTAATCATTCCAATTTTAATCATCCCTTTGTTTCCTCAGCCATAGGGTTGGTAGCTGCTTCCTGCAGTTGCTACCTCTATGTACACTTTTTACCTTATCAGTTACTTAACAACTTTATATCTAGTTAACAATTCTTTCTACCAAATTCTCTATCTCCTCACTGATACATGGGAGGAAGGAAGCTTTAGTTCCTCTGCAGTGCTGAACATTAAAGGAATTCTCATCTAACTGGAAGTCTTCCCTCACAGCCAACCAGATGCTTCTCTGCTCCCATGACTCGAAAGTTCCTGAATCCTTATTACTTCCAAGCCCTCTTTCTACTGGAACAAATGTTCATAGCCTGCATGAGAGGACCTGATTTCAATCCCAGCCCTGCCATTCATTCAGTGTGACTTGGGTTTTCTTCTCTGGAAATTGGGTATGACTGTTCTGACCTTGCAGGAGGCCTGTCATGAGATATCATTTATGAAAACACCCAGCATGTAGCAGAAATGTAACACTTCTTGAATTGAAATCCACCTCCTTTTCCCCTACATCTACACTGCACTTCGCTCCTGCCCCAATTAGCATTCATTATCTAATCATGCCTGGATTTAATGATTCAATTCCACCTCCTGTGGTCAGTGACAACCACTGGTCACCGCTGCCCATGAAGGAGTTGAACCTCTCACCTAAACCAGTGCCATGGCCTCCTAACCGCCTCTCCACCCACGCACCCATCCCGCCCAGCCTTTCAGGGTTAATCACCACTCTGCTCAAAACCTTCAACAGCCCTCCACTGCACAAAATTAGCCATGGCATTCACACCTCCCCCTCACTCCTCCCAACGACCTGTTGAGCAGTCTCCCGCATGCTTTCGCACCCAAACTCCAAGCCATTTGCCCTGCACTTTCTCATCTCCACACCTCTGCAGGCACCACCGCCCCTCACCTTGGAGAGCAAGTGCATGTCCCTTCCTGCCGTGCCTTCACAATATCAGTCTCACCCTATTCTGCACTCCAAAGTAATTCTCTTCATAAGTCTATTGCTACATTTTTCATATCTTACTCTGGTTAAGTACCATCTTCGATGCTTAAATAAGCATTCCATTAATCCATCCAGTTAATATGCGTATCAACTGTGCCAAGCACTATGCTAACTGGTGGGTAAACAGCCCTACACAGAAGGCTCCTACCCTCGAGGAGCTCACTGGCTAGCAGGAATTGGCTGTAAACAAGGAGAGATGATGACTGCACTAACGGTCTTGGAATAACCAGGAACCGGCCGGCGCACCCATGAAAACAAGTTTCTGGAAACCCTGCGTCAGACAGGGCTTTGTGGTTTCAGTTAACAGAAAAGAGGGAGCGCGCATGTAACAGCATCTAGTGCTCAGGGTTAGCTGAGCACCCCCAGCAGAGGACAGCGGATCTTAAGGTAAGGTCCTTCTCCCCGCCGCCCTCACCTGGCCCCCGCCCAGGCCCCCAGCAGCGGACCCCAGGTCCCTCTCGGTCATCAGCATCACCTCCGATTTACCAAGTACGCAGAGGCGCCCCTGAGCCGACAGACTTCGTTCCCGACCCGGCGCGCCCACCTCCGCCCTCGGGTTCCCCGCCCTGCAGCATGCAGCCCTTCGGCCCGGCCGTTTCCAGCTCGAGCTCGCCCCCAAACGGCGTTCGGCGTTCGCGAGGCGGCCCGAGGCGCTTCCCCAGCCCCGCGGCCCCCCTCGGCCCGACCCCGCGAGCCCGCAACTTCCCGGCCCGGGCCGCAGGTGGTGGCTGAG